TTCTCCGAGCCGCCCGGAGCCAGCGCCAGCTCAGGTTCGGACTAGCAGGAGCAGCCAGCCGCGGGCACCGGCAGTCAAGTAACCTAGTGGGAGGGAGGGATCTGGGCGCTGAGGAACCGGGGAAGAGGGCGGGCCGGGCCCCATGGGCGGAGACTGACGGGCACGAGGGCCAATACGGAGGCAGGAAGTCGGCCCTGAGGGGCGGGGCTCCGCCTCCGGGCTTCGCGGCCCGCTCCTTCTGCTCCTGCACCTCAGAACCTTCCTCGGTTTCGCTCTTTCATGTTACTGTGTCGAGGCCCCACGCGCGAGGGTGGGGACGCAATCTCTAGGAATGTGACAGGGGCCGTGCAGATTAGGAAGAGGCTGGAGATACTTGCGACGCCAGTTACTCGACAAAAGAAACGGAGGCTGGCTTCCCGCGGACCTCACATCGCCGGCACCGCGCGGCTGTTGCTGATGTTGGCCGCCTGTTCGCGCGAGAAGAGGCTCCGCGCGGGCGGGGCCGGGCGTGTCGGCTGGTACCAGGCTGGGCTCCGCGCGAGCCGGCGAGCGGCGCGCTGGGGCTCTGGGACCGTCCTGCACAGCTCGTGGAGGTCGGGGGAGGATGGGGGGTTTAGGAGGTGGGTGCAGGTCCGGGAACGGAGAAGCAGGAGAGCGAGGGCCCCGGGAATGTGAGGCCTCCACCCCTGAGGAACGCTTCCTGCTCCCGAGCTATTTGTGTGTGTCTGGGACTCGCTCTTTTGCAGAATTCCTGCCGGTCTCCTCTGCTGCTGGCACAGTTATTGGCCTGTAGTGAATTTACAAATGGTCCCTAGCATCACAGTCACCATAAGTAGATATTTAATGTTCTCTCTCAGGAAAGCAATAGGACACTAAGTTGTCAACTTGAAAGAAGCAGGGCCCTAGCTCAGTTGGTCAGAGCCTCCTCCCCATAAGCCAAGGTTGCGGTTCCATCCCAGGTCAGGGCACATAAAAGAACCAACCAATGAATGCATAAAAAAGTAGAATAACAAATTGATGTCTGTCTCTCAAAATAAGTTTAAAAAAAATTTTTTTAAAAAGAAGCAGGGTCCATAACTTAATACATCTATACCCGCCCACGGTTATGATATTGGAAGGTATTTCTCTACTCTTTTTTTCAGAAAATGTTATCACCAAAAATTCTTTGAGTTTGTGTACTCTTAAAGTATGGTAATGATAATTTTAAAAACACACGTAAAGGATAAAAAAGAAGCAAGGCAAATGGAATAAGAAAATTGAAAGTAATGGAAATGTAACACAAAACTGAGTGGTGGGGGAGAAAAGTGAATTGTCCCATCCAAGACTTTGACAGTTATGTAAAATCTGGAGTAACACTGCCAGTCTGAGGATGGAAGGGTGGGGCCTGTTTGTGAACACTGTAGTTAGATGATAAATGATAGGAGTGGCTGCTATAACCACTGCAGTAAAAGAGGGACTATAAATAAGCATGACCTAACAATAACCTTGCATGCCAGAAGTTGTCAAGATGCAGCAAGCTAAATAAGGGGAACTTCAAAAATTACATTATAAATGTTTCATTGATAGAGGTAAAAGTAATTTGCCTTTGAAAGATAGTTTGTCCTACATTAGAGTGATTGCAGGTTGAAGGGTTGTAGAGAGCTATCATGGATGGGATTATTTTGGCTCAACTGAGGTCAATTTATTCCTTAAATGAATTATCTGTTAATGTCAAGGAGGCAGACAGTGCTACTTGACTGGTCCACCCCATTCACTTGTTATTCTAAGTCACTTTGGTGGTTGGTCTGATTTGTTCAGTGACCAAGCCTGATACCAGTTTCCTCCCCCCCCACCCCCTGTTTTTTGTTGATTTGGACCTTGGCACCTTGTTTTACATGATCCCCCTTTTTACATACATTCTTTCAGGACTACCCTGTGTCTTCTTTCTGGCTCAGCATTGTTTGTATTGTTTGCACAGCTATTTTAACAAAGCCTGGTGATCTGCATTCTGGGTACAGAGGAGGGTACCAAGGAAGAAGCCTATACGGAAGTCACTGGATCCACAGCTGTTTCAGGGGCATTTACTTCAAAAGAAACAGCAATGCACAATGCAAATCGTTTCTTTTATATATTAATTTATGCAGTGAGGTGTGTAAAGTACCTCACTCAAGCTTAATGAAGTTATACAGATGTAAACACCTGCGTAATCATTGTGCAGACTGAGATATAGAAAATTTCTTATGCCTCTTTTTACCAGTCCCCTCACCCCTTAAAGCTAAATACTGACTAATGCTGGTAGCTCTAGGGGGAGGACATGGGGGACCTTTAGAGCTTAGAAGAAAGTAAAGCAAAAATACGTACCTAAGGAAAGAAATTGGGGAAAGGCAAGGTCGTGCTCCAGAGAGAGCTCAAGTTGGGTCCCTTGTCTTAAGGGCTTTTATCTGTTTTCTAAAAGCAGGAAGGGGAGGATCTCAAGAGAATATGCATCAGCTTTCCAGGTGTCCTGGTCTCTACTGATTGGTCGGCACTAGGTTAAGAGGTCCTTAGGCATTGCATCTGGTCCTAACATCAGCCACGGTGATACTGTGACTGGTTTTGCTGCTTTTCTAGGCCTAGATGTTATCTCTAGTTTGACCAAAACTCTTTGAACAAGACCTGAAGCTTTGTTCCTAAGATTATTTGAAGCTGATTTGAACCTCACTGTCTAGATTTTTTTTAAGAAAAGAAAGCAAGAATTTATTGACTGCAGCAAAAACACACTAAGGACAATGAAAGAAGGAAGGACATAGAAGAAGCAACAGGAGGGCTGCTTTGACTCACTGGGAAGTCAGAGAAAGGAGGACCTTGGAGACAGATTCAGGGGGTTAGCCCAGGATGAGCTGCTGCTGCCCAACCTCGTTATTTTAATGCTTAAGGGAGAAAGAGAAAGGTGACACAGGGTGCCGAATGGGGCCAGTTTGAATCAGCCATCTGTGTCAGTTTCCCCTTCCACTTGCCAACGAATTTTCCTAGCTTTTTACTATCCTGCTTCAGTATTACCTGGGAGTTTGTTAGAAAAATGAAATCTGGGCCCTGGCTGGGTAGCTCAGTTGGTTAAAGCATTATCCCCATACACCAAGGTTATAGGTTTGATCCCTGGTCAGGGCACATAACAAGAATCAACCAATGACCCTGGCTGGTGTGGCTCAATTGTTTGGTGTGTCATCCCATATACCCAAAGGTCTCTGGTTCAATTCCTGGTCAGGACACATACCTAAGTTGCAGATTCAGGCCCCAGTTGGGGCACGCACGAGAGACAATCAATTGAAGAAATGACTTTCTTTGTATTATTATATTTCATTCACATTCTCTGAATAGGTGTGAAAAGCAACAGTAATCTTTGTGTAAGTTTGGGGAAGGGATAGAATTTTATTTCATGCCAGCTGTGAACATTACATTAAAAAACATGCCAACAACAAGAAAATGGCAGTTGAAGTGTTCTGTCACAAATTTGGCCAGTTCTGTTAGAGCAGAAAGTAGAAGTGAGAAGAAAATATGAGAAGGAACGTCCTGGAGCTCTTTTTACTCTGTTCAGTGGGAGGATTTGACTCACCTCCATGTTGCCCTTTCAACAAACAGCCTGCAGCTCTGCTTTCTCCTATGAAATCAGTCCCTTCTTCATCTCATACAATTTGGCTTCCTTCTCCACAATTTTATTAAAACTGTGCAAAACTTCCTCTTTTTTTTGGTGGAATTCAAACCTTTTTTCAATCCCCAACTTGCTTATTCTTTCAGCAAAATTTGACCCAACTGACCTTCCCCTCCTTCTCGAAACACTTCCTTTGGTTTCCCTGGCACCATACTTCTCTGGATCTCTGTCCTCGCCTTTGACATCACCTCTCCCTCCTGCTCCGTAAAGAAGGGTCATCCCCAAGGTCCAATCCTAGACATAATCCATTGGAACATTTGATAGTCTCTGCCTGTAGTGTCAACCCTGACAGTTGTTTTTTCTCTTTTTTGTAATGCAAGTGCCTTACTTAAGCTTTGATTGCCATGGCATCCTTTTCCAAAGGGTGGCTATCTGGAATAAACACATCTGCGGCACAACCAGAAAAAGAGCTGGGCCCCCTCTCCCCATTGAGGATCTTTTGTTTTAGAGATCTTGGTTGATTTCAATAACAGACAATTTGGGTCATTT